TTACTTTGCTCTGCAGGTGACTCTTTAACAGTATGTTAGACAAATGATGGCCAGTAGCCGCGTAGCAAACCACCAAGTTAAATATTAATGGTTTTATTGGTTCTTCTTTTTTACCCACTTTCTTCAAAAACCTGTTTAGTTTGTTCCAGTAGTTGAGGAAATGAGAATGAGTCAGTTTTATGATCCGTTGCTGCTCTGTCTGTACATCCCGTCACTTACTGCTCAAATATAGGAAAGGTGACATTAATTCATCAGACTACTTATTTATTTATTTAATTTTTTACCATGAACACATTTTAATTTTTGTTAGACACTTTTTAGCAGCAAAATTTTTATTGCTATCACATAATAATACCCATGTGGCCTTTTTACCCCATGAATGTCTGTATCGATACTCACTATATACTATATGCATATATGTGCTTTCATTGGCCATTCTTGCTATACTGTATATGCAGTGTCATGCAGGGGTTACAGGCAGCAACATGTTGCAGCAGCATGAAAAAAAGGAAGCTCACAACACTGAACACACCGCAGTGTAGCTTCTGTTCACTGGTAGTGAAGTGAAGTGCAAATGTGTATTTTTGTTGTGCACAGCTTCTGCTTTCATGCTGCAATAGTCACTGCTATTATACTAACTCACGAGACATGTCGTAACATACTGTTAGTTATCCATTACAACAACAACATGTTTATGTCCTCTGTCTTTGTGCCTCTGGCTCTTTGAGTCTCACATATTTATGATGTGCAGTTCTGCTTGTGACTGGCAATCTTAGCGAGCACATATACACCCAGTTGCCACTGGTGACAGTGTTAATGCTGTTGCTCTTTGGGATATTTGTAAATACAGTGCTGTCCAAAAGTCTGAGAACACTTCCCATGTTTAATACATGCACTTCAATACTACTTGAAAACATGAAGAGGGTGTTAGAGGGTGCTGCTCTTCGGAGACAGATGCAACATGACTAATTCTACATCTTCTAACTCTGACTAACATCAGCCTTTTATTTCCAATCAGCTGGCCCCTCCACCCGAGCCCGATGTCCCTGCCGAGGTGTGTTTCAGACCCACATCTCACCTGCTGCACAGTAATCCTGGTCACTGCTGATCAGAGATCATCCCTCATAATTACAAGCTGTCCCATTACACATTTGTGCTTAGTGTTTAAAAAGGATTTCTCTTAGTGGATAAAGGTCACAACCCAGTCCTGTGAATTCCCCCTTTTTCAGAAGCCCCTCGTGCATCCCTGCCTCCCGCCCATTCACTCATCAATCCCTTCCTCTCTACTTCCTGCCTTCCGTTCATCTATCCTTCCGCCGCTTCGTTTCTTGAGCCAACCGTGGCCAAATTTCCTGCTGTCTTCAAGTGTGTTGTGGCGGGGGTGTGTGTCGTGGCTGAAGTGTTTTTCCATGCCAGACTGGTGCTTAGTGTGTGTGTGCTTAGTGTGTGTGCTTAGTGTGTGTGTGTGTGTGTGTGTGTG